CTTTTAATCTAAAAGAAGAGAACCAGCACTGGGTGATATCTAAGTGCCTGTCACTGTCCATGCTCTTGGCCACCCAGTGTTTGTGGGCACGCCTCACCCACAGGCACACTTCCCTCCTCTCCAAGGGAAACAAGCCTCAAGCCCCAGATGCACTGGTACAGCTTAAATGCCTGAGTGACAAGCAGTCAGAGCTGGGAATAGGCCCTGGTGGTATGACAGCTGAAACAAGTGGTCACCTTCACCCCCATCTCTTCCCAAGAAAGCTGCAATAAAAAGTGCCATTCGTGAAAAGGATGAAAGGGAAGCACACCTAAGTTACTGGCCCAGAGCAGTGATCATGTCTCACAGGGCAGGAACTGAACATTCCTTCCACCGAGTGAGTTGCTTGGTTATTAGCCTGCCTCCCCACCCAGGGGGACCCTGTTCTGACTTTTTCCTTTTGGGTGGTTCTGCCTGTGTAGCCGGAATAGCATTTCCAGGTTATGTGCCTGGCGGGGTGTGCAGGGCCTTCACGGGCTGTCCCTGCAGGTGCAGCCCTGGAGCCTGGAGCCTGCTGCTGGGTCCCGGGCTTTGTTAGGTCAGCTTTGCAGTTTCCCAGGCAATAAACCTCCCCAAGAAGCCCCCCGAGGAAGCTGTGAGTCTATTTGCTTCCAATCCATTTCATGTGCAAATAATGACGACAGCCAATATCTGGTTTGACAGAGGTTTAGCCTAAACACTTCATTTACTGCCTGTCATGCTCTGCCCAGCCCCCATGGCTCAATCTAAGTGCAGTTGTCCTGAGTCCGCCTGAAATCAACAGGCTTGAGTGGGAAGGCAAAGTCCTGAGTTCTGGCTTGTGTGCCATCTAGCAGAAAACTGCATAGCGGCGCTTGAGAAAAGCTTGGGGACAGAGTTTGAGTTTTTGCGGAAACTCCTCAAAGCCCCCTCCAAGGACTCAAAGGGTGTCATCAGATGTCTCTCTCTCTTTCACCATCTCCCCTGTGCTGTCCTCTGGGTTTAGTCTCACTCAGGCAAATTCCACCTGCATTCCTAAATATACCAGGTCCTGATTTTTGAGGAGGGCATACACAATCACACCAGCATCCATACATGAAGTCTTAGGGAAGTTCCCGATTGGCCCACCCCAAATCAGTCATTATGCCCAGGAGATGGAGTTCTTTGGCTTAGTCTGCCGTTGTGTAGACCATCATGGCAGGGGACCTGGCCAGGACCACTGAAAAGGCAGAGATATCAGCTGCCCCAAAGAAGTTGAGGGGGTGCTATCAGTCTGAATGGGAGGGTATGGCTGGCCAGCACAAAGGAAAGAGACCCAGGACATTGGGCCACCAACTGGGGCAACAATGCTCTTGGTAAAGAGGGTGGAACTGCTAAGTAACTCATTTTCATGTAATATGAGTTGTTAAAATGGGGGCCATGTCTCTTCAAGCCAGGTGGAAACCACAGGGAGACCAAGAAGCATCATTTCCTCTTCAAAACTGATGCGCATCTGCCTGAGTATGCCCCTAAACCTGCCCATGGCCCCTGCCTGGTCCTTCCCCGGGCTGGAGGAAGCTCCAAACGAAACTCCTCTGTCCTCACCCTCCTCTTTCTCTCTGCCTCCCTCTCCAAAACTGAGTCTCTCTCTCATGCTAGTGTCCTTGCCCTGGTCTGGGGCAGAGGGGGGCCTCTGAGTGTGGGCTTAGACTCAGACACAAGAGGAGTGTTCTTTGGCTGAAAACAAGGAGGGTTAAAGTTAAATCCTTTACCCCTGGAGGAGGGGCAGGAGCAGGCCGAGAACAGCGAGGGTGTGTTCCAGCCTGCACACCCCACTGCTCTTTAGGCCCACAGTCCCTCCACTCCCCTACATGACTCCACGTTCACCAACCGGCCCTCCTTTCACCCATATATTCACCCCTAGAACTCTCTGAGCATGAGCACTGCAGTAATAATGGTGCTGGTCTGCACATGTTTGAGAAGCTCTTAGGATGATAGCACTTGGACCACATTTATTCCTTTGAAGTTGTGCCACTCTAACCCACCACCCTACCTGAACCCACCTTCCTGAGTTCCTCAAGGACCCATCTTGCTCCATCTTTCCAGCATCTAGTCTGATCCTCGCACTCTGGCCGGCAGGATGATTGACAGGCAGATATGGGTCAAAGGGAGCAGCACTGTTGCCACATGGTTTTGAGGATGGTTTCCTGGCCCTGCCGGTTCTCCCTCAGCAGTAAGTAGCCTGCAGGCAGCACTCACCATTAGGGTTCAGTTCAGGAAGGAAACCTGGTCCGCCTTTGAGCAGGGATTTCCCTGCTCATTGTCCTCCAAGGCAAAGGTTGCTGTGGGTTTCCTGTCTCGGGCCCCCAATACTTCCCACTTGACCACACTGCCCCGGCCTTGGGGTAAATGTGGAATTGTGTCTCAAAGTCAAGAGTAACTCGAGAGTTTTGGAAAGACTCTTGATGAACCTGCAGGGGTTGGTAACATCAAGTGGGTTGGGAATTTGTCAGATGGGTTGGAGATTTGCTATTCCCTGAGGTTCTTGGAGTCAGAAGCTCTGTTTGCAGCCACTGGTGGGAAGGCTGGGCCTTGCTACATCCACCTGCGCCGCCCTACTGTGGTTGTGTTTTCCCAGGTGTCGGCACAGGATCTCTCATCCTGTATAATCTTCTGCACTGTGACTTTGCCACTCTGCCATGAAGAGGTGGAGTCTCTTTCCTCCACTCCCTTGCAGCCAGGAGGCCCTGGGACTGCTTTGACTAATAGACACAGCGGAAGTGCTGCTGCACACTTCCAGCACAGCCCTTGGCTGGCCTGGGGCTTTGATTTCTGCCGCTCAGAAGCCAGCCAGTACTTAAGAAGTCCATCTATACCCTGAGACAACTCTGCTGTGAGCAGTACAAAAGCCCACTGGGAGAGGCCCCGGAGGATGAAATGCCCGATGGAAGGGAGCAAGGATAAGGAGCACTGAGGCCCCAGACATAGAAACACCTAAAATGATAGAATTTTAACTTAATTCCTCTCGGAATTTATACTTGTATCTCTTTCTCTCATGCTCAAAATCTTGAATCCTAATGATGTTAACATAATCAGTTTTATTTTACAAATATACCCCCAAACATTTCAAATAATAAATAGGGCAATGCCAACCTTACTAGAATACTAGGGGTCCAGTGCATGGATTCATGCGCCTTGAAAGGAACTGTGGTCCACAAGGCTGCAGTAGGGACAGGGGCAGGTCTTGGCCCATCCTCTGCGCCCCCACCTGGCCCCTCACTCCGCAACCCCTGCTCCCCTGTCTGCTGGCAGTGCCACTCCTGCCGCTGGCGCTCCCACATGCTGAGGGTGCCTGCCCCGCTCACACCCACTGATGGTGCACAGAACGATTGGGACCGGCACCAGCAGTGGGTATGAGTGGCTGCTGCTGCCCCAATCGCCCCTCAGGAGCAGGGGGAGGTGGAGAAGCCCTCAGGGGTGATCAGGGCCTGTAGCCACCCCTTGCACCAGCTAATGGCACGGAGTGATCGGGACCAGCGCCAGACACTGGAAGCAGGTGCGAGTGGCAATTCCGGTGCCAGCTTCAGGTGTGAGCAGGGCCGGCGCCGGCAGTGGGTGTGAACGCTGGGCAGGATCACGGCACACAGGAGCAAAGAATTTTCAGTAACCATCAGAGGCTCACCCCAATGACAGTGACCAGCGCCCCACCTTGGTCTGACGCCCCCGCTCACCTGTTCCACCATCCCGTTGCAGCCAACGCCCACCATGTTCCACACACCCTCCGCCCCCACCCCAGTGGCCAGTGCACATCATAGCAACTGGTTTTTCGATTGTTCTGCCATTCGTCTATTTGCATATTAGCCTTTTATTATATAGGATTGAGATTGTGATCTTGAAAAGATAACTTTTAGTTCTTTTGGTCTTTATAATATACTAGAGGTCTGGTGCACGAAATTCATGCACTGGAGCGGGGGGGTCCCTCAGCCTGGCCTGTACCCTCTTGCAGTCCAGGACCCCTCACTCCTTACTGCTCACTGCTCCTTAGCACTGCCACAGAGGCAGGAGAGGCTCCTGCCACCGCCACTGGGCTCAATAACCATGAGCCCAGCTTCTGGCTGAGATGCGCTCCCCCTGTGAGAGCTCACTGACCACCAGGGGCAGTTCCTGCATTGAGCGTCTGCCCCCTGGTGGTCAGTGTGCATCATAGCGACTGATTGTCCTGGTTGTTCTGCTGTAATGGTCACTTAGGCTTTTATTATGTAGATTCCTTTAGAATCAACCTCCACACTACATTTGGGGCTGAATAATTCTTTACTGTGGAAACACCTCTGTGCATTGTAGCCTCTACACTCTTTCCATTTAGATGCCAGTAACAACACTTCAGTTGTGACAACCAAAAATGACCCTGGGCACTGCCAAAGGTTGACTGGGGAACAAAATTGCTCCAGGTTAAAGATTACTGCTTTAGGAATGAATATACAGTCAAAATACTGAACTAAAATTCTTTTGATATCATTATTTTCTCTGTCTGATGATGCCACTAACTTGATGTATAGACAGGTTCACTTGTTTCAGGGGTTTTAAGTTTTTAGAGATTGCTTTTTACTTGTCTAATTTTAAAAAACGTAATGTTTTACATCATTCCAAAATCAAGATTTGCAGCCAGGTATTTTAATTTTGTCTTTTAATTATGTAAAGCATAATATTGAATAGCAGTACTGTCAAAGAAGTTTTCACATCTCTACCCTGCTCCCTGGGGTTATCCTACCATTATATATATATAAATATATATTTTTATGCACATTTACTTTATTACTTCCTTTCTAATAGGAAAGTCACCATACTATAAGCCCGGTTGCATATAATAAAAGCAAGGATTTCTATTCATCTGTTGTAACTGAAGTATTTGAGTAGCTACCACATGCAAAGCTCTGTGTAGCCATTAAGAGTCTTGCCTTATTGGAGAAGAAAGACTAATACAGGATCTATTTCCATTAGTCAAGGCCAAATTGCCAAGGTTTCAAATACCATAGTTGATTTCTGCCATGTGATGGGGGGGCCATCCTAACTTTGACCTCTGGTGAAGTACACATCTCTGGGGCTAAATGTGCTGACTGAGAAATCTTCATGTAACCTTGGATGAGGATATTCTTTATCAAACTGATAAGAACAGATACTACACTTGATCTTAGCCAAAAGGCCGAGAAGCGATAGAGGATATTCTTTATTAAAGAAATGATTGGGCCTGGTCGGAGTGGCTCAGTTGTTTGAGCATTGTCCTGTGTACCGAAAGATTGCCGGTTCAATTCCCAGCCAGGGCCCATTCCTGGGGTGTGGGTTTGATCCCTGGTTAGGGCAGATGAAAAAGGCAACCAATTGATGTTTCTCACAATGGTGTTTCTCTCTCTCTCTCTCTCTCTCTCTCTCTCTCTCTCTCTCTCTCTCTCTCTCTCCCTCCCCGCCCTCCCTCCCTCTAAGCATGTCCTTGGGTGAGAATTTTTAAAAAATGATTGGGGTGAGGCAGTTTGGAACAACTGCTTATCATTTTTATCTTCATAAAAATGCTAAGCTAGTGTTAAAAATGAGAGGAATGACCTAGACTGAGACCCCTGCCACACTTGTGTTATTGGCTACTGGATTCTTTTAAGTAAGACATCAAGAAATCTCAAAGTCGCAAAAGCTCAAAGATGCTCAGTGATTGAGCATCGACCCATGAACCAAGAGGTCACTGGTTCAATTCCAGATCAAGGCACATGCCCTGTTTCAGACTCAGTCCTCAGTAGGGGGAGCGCAGGAGGCAGCTGATCAATGTTTCTCTCTCACTGATGTTTTTATTTCTCTCTGACTTCCTCTCTTTCTAAAATCAAAAACATATTTAAAAAGAAAAGAAAAATCTCAGAGAGTCAAATTTAACCACTTAACATCTACCTACCTTAATTGTCAAAATACCAATGGGTAAAAGTTACATATGAATAAATGTGTTCCTTTTTATTATAAAACTCTCCAAATATAAACAAAAATAGAAAATACAAGGAACTACTTAGTCATCACCCAGTTTCAACTACCATCAGCACACACTCGTTTCATCTTTCCCAACCAATTATTTTCTAAAGTATTTCAAAGCAGATTCCACTTAATAAGTCATTTCACTCTTAATACTATGCTGCTGTAAAAAAAGGAATTCTTGCCATTTGCAACAGCATGGAGGGAACTGGAGAGCATTATGCTAAGTAAAATAAGCCAGTCAATGAAAGAAAAATACCACATGATCTCACTCATTTATGGATAATTAAGACCATTATAAACTGATGAACAAAAATAGATACAGAGGCAGAGCAACATCGAACAGACTGTCAAACTACAGCGGGAAGGCCGGGGAGGTTTGGGGGGGGGGGGGCGGGGTAAGAGATCAACTGAAGGACTTGTATGCATGCATATAAGCATAACCAATGGACACAAGACACTGGGGGGTATGGGACGCTAGGGGAAGGTCAAGGGGAGAAAAAAAAAAAGGAGACATATATAATACTCTTTGCAATACTTTAAGCAATAAAACAATTTTAAAAAAAAGAATCAACCAAAAAAATAAATAAATAAAAGCACATGCTACACATTCCCCCCTCCCCCAAAAAATAAATAATAAATAATAAAAAATGCATTGAAAAAAAATTAGGTGGCAGGGGTGGGGCAGAGCATTTTCTTACATAACTACAATGTCAGTAACACACCTGTTAAAAATAGCAATTTGTTAATATCATCCGATATTGAGTCCAAATTTAAATTTACCTGATTATCTAAAACAAAAAAACCCAACTGTCTTTACTGTTACATTAAATCAGGGTCTACACAAAGTCCACTCATTGTATTTGGGGGAACCTGCTTATGGGATATGAACTGATACAACTGAGCCTGAAACATTCTGGGAGGCCAAACATAAATTGTCAAGGATCACGCCACATTAGCTCCTGGTTGGTTTGACTCCAGATATATAGGGTTGTGTTCCCCTCAGACTTCTCCAAGTTGAACGTTCTCAATTCCCACCATGGTTTCTCTATGACATAGTTTCTCTCCTCCTTCCCATTCTTCCCTTCTTAGCATCTTCCAGTTGGTTAATGTCTCTAATAGACATAAGGAGGTGCTATCCTCAATTATCAATCCTCAGGTCAGCATTGATATCCCTACTTTAGAGATAGAGCTCATAGCTTCATTGGTGGCTGACTTGGTCTTGAGCTCAGTATTAGTTGTAAATTCCAGATGTAGGCCAACAACTCATAGCTTTGCCTGATTCTTCTTTCTGGATCACAAACAAGCCATTTGGGTTCTAGCCACCCTTTGGTTCCCACTAAAAACCTAATTTACCAGTCAGTCATTTGGAAATACCCAGCTGCCCATCCAGCAGAGCTTGGTTAAGAGTGTGGGTCCTGGAGTCTCAGAAGCATGGCTTAGTCATTAGGTGCATAGACTTTGCAGCCAGGCTTTCCAAGTTCAAATTCCAGATCTGCCAACTATGATCTGGGAGAAATGGGTAAATCATTTACCCACTGTTTCTTTGTTTATAGAATGGGAATGATGATAATACATACTTCATCAGGTTGTTGTGAGGATTAAATTAACACATGGAAAGCCTATGAAACACTGTGGCCTGACACAGTGTTATGTGTTATTGTTACTGTTCTGCATTTACCACTTAGATGATGCAAGACCTTGAGCAAGTCACCCAGGTAAAATATGTCTCTAATTCCTTATCTCTGACTTGGGGACCCTACTAACAAATAGTTTGAAGATTAAAAGACACAATTCACCAAAAGCTGAAAGAAAAGGGGTACATAATAAGCACTCAATAAATATAACTATTATTAATTTTGCATTTTGTATTTACCATGTACGGATCCCAAGTCAGAAAGGCAGGTGTGTTAGAAACACTGGCATCTTTATTTTCAAAATATCAACTGGGTTTCATCTCGAACTTCTTACTGCCTCAGTATTTCTTGGAGTTTCTTCCCTGAGTCTTCCTAAGATATAACATAATGACCAGGTTTCTGGAGGGTCCTGTTAGTCATCAGTCCCCCATCCACTCTGATGTACTTATCTCCGCCCAGGAGGTCTCTGCCATATCAGTGCCACAGTTGGGTCCCAGGGGCTTGGCCAAGCCTATGGGCCTTCGCACAGTCTCCTGTGCATTTCCAGCCGCATCCTCAGAAGACTCTTGGATCTAAGAACCTTTCTCTTACAACTTGCCCAAGTCTCTGGAAATCTCTTCTTAATCCAGAGGAAAATCCTTTTGTTTTTCTAATCTTGTTCACCTCAATGAATGTTTGGAAACAAGCATCTGGCATAAGTCTCTACAGAGACAGAAGCACAGGGCCTTGAATGGGAGGAGGAAAGAGAGAAAAATCATATATCACCATCTTGCAAAGCTCTCTACGCATCACATCTATAAACCGAAGGGACTTTGTCTCACAGTCACTCAGTGAACACTTACCAAGTGCTAGGTACTCTGCCAAGCACTGAAAGAAAAAGACATGACCTAGGTATGAACCCCACCCTCAAACAGTTCTCCCAGAGCACTGGTGATTTGGGCTTCCAGCAGATATTGGGTAATATCTGGAGACATTTTTAGTTGTCACAACTGGATGGGGTTGTACTACTGGCATCTAGTGGGTAGAGGCCAGAATTGTTGCTAAATGCCCTACAATGCACCAGATACACCCCCACCCCCCCCCCCCCCGCCCAGTAAGAAATGGTTTAGCCTAAAACATCAATCATGACGAGAATGGGACAGGAACTGTCATGCAAGGCAGAAGAAAATGACAAGCCAGTGGTGCCAGAGGCTCATCTAACAAAAATTACTGAAGAGAAAAATTTCTAGACAGATGGAATATTCCTGGGAGTTTTTAATCACAAGGAGATAGCCTGGGATAAGAAGAGCCAAGATTTTAGCTCATAGCCCTTTCCACACAATTTCAGATATCAGTTGTCTAGAAAAGATCCAAAGAGTTCATACCAGCCCCCTCTGGTCTGGCAAAGTGAACTAGCACAGGCTGCTGTCATTGAGGTCCAAGGCAAGACAGCTGCCTTGTCCATGGGAACTAGGGACTGGGGGCGGGGCGTATGCAGCTGGCAGCTGCCCTTTTTCACCTGGTCTGTGGAGCTACTATCCCGCCAGTGACCATTGACCAGGCTACTGGTTTGTGGTGGTTCTCAATCCTGACCTTGCAACAAATTCCTGCAAGGATTCTGATAGCTCTGGGACAGTGTCACTGGAAAGGGTCCAGGACCAAGGTGGATCTGCCCTAGCACAGCCTGGAATGTGTGGGTTCTTGACTTCATGCAGGAAAGATCTCACAATATGAATCCAGATGATTTTGAGAGTACATGTCTATTAAAACTGGGACAATGAAACAATGGAAGGGCTTAAGATAGAGGAGGTAAGATTACAGCAATAGGAGTGAGCCTAGGTTTTTGGGCTCACTGAAAAGTTAGGCAAAAGGAGGGCCCTTAGCCCAGGACAAGCTGCTGTTGCCCACTGTTCCCCTGGTTGCAAGCCTCATAGGGACTCTTGGAGCTTAGGAGAAAGAGAGCAAAGGTACTACATACCTGAGAAAGAAATTGGGGGCGGGAGGAGTAGGCATGCCCAAGGGAGAGCACCTACTGGGTCCTTTTTCTTAAGGGTTTTTATCTATTTTCTAAAGGCAGAAATTTTAGGGGAGATCACAGGGGAGGATCTCAATAGAATATTCATCAGCTTTCCAGGTGTGTCCTTTGATATGCTAGTGCCATGGTCTGCAAACTGCTCGAGAGCCACATGCGGCTCTTTGGCCCCTTGAGTGTGGCTCTTCCTAAGCCTTAGGTGTACCCTAATTAAGTTAATAACAATGTACCTACCTATATAGTTTAAGTTTAAAAAATTTGGCTCTCAAAAGAAATTTCAATCGTTGTACTGTTGATATTTGGCTCTGTTGACTAATGAGTGTGCCAGTGCATCAAAATGAGCATATAGAGGGATCAAGGTCATTCTCTGGTCAGTTTCACCTTCAAAGAATGTCACAGGAAAGAGACCTGACTAGGCAGATCTGCCCTAGTATAGTCTGGAATGAGTAAACCATTTGCTCCTAAGCATCCTTGGTTAGGGGAGATTAGATCTTTCAATTTATTAGCTGGTTATAAATTGCTCAGCCTTGTTTAGCTATCTCAGTTTCCCCATTCCACTTG